CTTCCACAGGGGTTGATCTGCTCTATAAGAACACACAATACACTTTTGCCCCTCCTGAATCTAGCCGTATTCCGCGCCTTTTGAGAATCCAAGTGACCAAGATACCACAGCCTCGTAACCATTTCCAGGAGTAAACAGATGGATCGCGGCCTAGGTTGAAGAATTAGCGACGACATGGAACGTAATGGTTGGCAAGCTTTGACTAACTCCTGTTCATGGCGCTCTAAAACACAGACTCAGCCTCCGAGTCAGAGGAGTCGGCATAGGGATCCTCTTCTCCAATCATCAGGGGGTTGAACAGTGAGTGCTCCATGGTATTGATTTCCACCGCAACGATCCTTATTGAGCACTGACGGCCAAAAACCTTAGAACATCGAAATCAACTACTGGTTAGAATTGATACACGACTTGTAGAAAAGATCGCGCGGCCACGCGCTCAGGTGAAGGGTATGTACCGGCGCCGGAAGGCAGCCTCAGCAGTAGGAGCGAAGAATTGGATGGGGTTGCTTGAGGGAGCGCGTTGGGGTTCGCGGAGGTGGCGATTTGTTGCCAGGCTGCAGAGGCGAGGGTGGCCATCTTGGAATTCAGTTGTAGATGGTACCTTAGGTCTGATGACAATGTAGGTGTCGGGTTTGATGATGATGTACCTGACAGGTCTGATTTGGTGGTAATGTGAGTGTCAGATATTTGGAGATGTGTGCGCTTGCGAGGCGGGAGAAATGAAGCCAGAAGAGGAAATAAAAGCCAACTTCTTCATGGAGGCCGGCAGAGAGTTGACCAGTAGCCTGGCGCGTCCTGACGCGAGATGGCCACCTCGACGCGGTTGTTCTTTGGGGCTCTCTTGGGTGGTTGCTCTAAATGCAAAGCTTGACCCCGACTTCGTTATATATTGCGAGCCTATGCTATCATTCGCTCCTTCCGTCCAAAGTTTGATGTTGAATTGACTCATCCCCTAAGATTACCCTGGTTTACCTTGTGGAAAAGAAGCAAGTTGAAACTCCTAACCCGGACTCCGAATCTCTCTTTCCCTCTGGCCTAATCGCGCTTATCAACAAATATTTATAGAAAAACTATATAAATTGATAAGGATAGGAACGGATTTTGATCACGAGTCAATAAGAGGTACCCAAATGCCTGATTCTGAATTGATCTACATTTCGTTAATCCCAAATTTACGGATGGAGCGATTGCAAACTCCAGCACTTTCCAAAAATTGTCACCAACAAGGAGTTAACATAAAGGATTATATATCCGAAGGCTCTCAATCGTGTGCAATCATGTGTGGCTGAATCTTGGATGGTGAGCCTTGCAAATGGGTGGTGGTTCAAGTACCCTAACCCCGGTCGCTTTGAAGGTGTGTGATTGGTCAGCACGCAGAAACCAATTACAAAGGCTAAGGGTTTCAAATAAGGTAACTCCAGGAGGATGGGCTCACATCTTTGCGCCGTGGCTCCATGACGTGCCAGTAGAGCACGGGTCCTGCCAAACTTGTAGCCACTTTCAAAGTTTAGTTAAGCCTTCAATCAAGTTAAGCGTTTGCTATTCCAGTTAAAACCAGGTGGTCAATGTGCCAAGCCAAGTCATGCCGGCCTTCGGCTTGTTTAAATCACCTGCAAAATGCGACCTGTCAGGTATCTTTTCTCTCCCACAAACTTCCAAAATACAGGTCCACTATTTACACCAACATCTCAAAGTTTTGAAGCTCAGCATGGAACCCTCACGTTCGCCTTTCCCTTATTTTTAAGAGCTCTTCGACGCTGAACAGCAAAAGCTCAATGTCATCGAAAAGAAAAGCAAAAAGCTCAGGGAGATAGCACTCTGAATCGATGAGATGGGTACGAAAGTCCTTGTTCAAACCTATAATATCCGATAGGAGTATTTGTCCGAATTCTCTCCCCGATATGACAGTCTCGATAAGCTTAAGGAGGGTGCCATGGTGTTTTTTCATGCCGTCTGCGACAGCATGGAACTTGTGGCTAGAGTAACATCAACCGTGGCACAAGCCACGTCCGTTTTGCCTGAGAAGGTTGCCAAGTCAAGACAGTGCATCGACTCGCTGTGTGAAAACGGATGGTCTAATAGAATAGATAAAGCACTGGAGATAATGTGGGATGGCTTAACCGATACCTATGTAAGGGGGGAGGTGCTTAGAAACATATTGGACGATATGGATAGACGGTTACGCCTGTGGAGGAGTGTTGCCATGCGCGACGCTATTTATTAGATCGTACTGTTTTACTTTAGTTATTTCCGCGAAGAAAATATACGGAATATACCTAAGGTAAATCAGGGTTTAGTAACGGGCCGGTAGAGATGAAGTACACCGGAATTCTTTTTATTTTCTGGCTTTACCTTACAGCTATATTATTACTAAAGTAAATATAAGACTCTTATTTTGGTTAGGTAATGTATAAATATCGAGAAGGAAGGAGGTAGGTTGAATAGTAATACGTATCTAATTTTTTAAGGGATTTTAACAAAAGTTAAAAAATAAAAAGGAAATACTAAATTTTATGATTAATTAATGATACTAAGCTAAAATGATAATATAATATTCGATAACTGTAACTTATATTATCAACCCCGGTAATTAACATTATTAATAGTTATAACTTTTCTTTATAAAGTCGAATAACCGATATTATTAAGTAAGTTAAATAAATATATATAAGCAATCAAATTGTGACGAACCCCTATCCAGAACCTCTGAAAGGGATACTGGTTGAAGGCACTTCTGAACAATCCTGGTTCGGTACAGCTAAACAGTGTACAACAAATGGCTTGTCTCAATCACAACAGTCTAGATACCAACGATTGTGACTTGTATTGCATACTGCGGAACTGTCTATCTACACCAGCCAGTTCCTCCGTATATATAGACCTTGATCCCCCAGGTACCTCCGTACCTGGCTCACCTCTGCCAAGAGGTGAGCCTCTCATTACCCTGCAGCCCCGCCGTTGTGCCTTTCTTCCCTGGTTGGCTACCCCGGCTCACTGCAGTCTCCGCTCGGTCTTGCTATATGGTTGGTCTGTGACAGCGATAAATTAATAAATCACTTACGGCTTCCTATAAAGGATTACTAAAATACTATTATTACTTAATTACTTTCTCTTCTCTAACCACTCTAGAGTTTGGCCTCGCGAGAGGGCTTGCGGTAACTCCATCAAAAGCTTCCTCATGGACACTGTTCCCAACATAGTGAATTTCAGCGTCTGTCCTACCTCTTCCAGCTTCCGGGCGAATGTTTGTAGCTCATAATCACAAACAACCGTAAGGTTTACCCCAACCATCGATGAAGCGAGCCACAGCAATAACATCTTGACTTCCGGGTCGCCACGAAAAGCTCCACAGCCCCATGGACCGGTTTTGATCTCGGATATGGTACCGTCCAAGCTTGAAGAAAACGCCGTATACGCTTTTGCTATTTCCCGTTCCATATTACCCGGGTCCAAATCGGCAAGTCTCCCATCATTCACCAGATCCAGTTCTAGAGCATCCATAAAAAGCATCGTCCGGAACTTCCAAGTTGCATCACCACCCTGTGGAGGATCCAACATACTTCCAACAATGATATCTCTTCCCTTGCCAACAACATTGACCATAGCCTGTGCCCCACGCACCTTTAGCACCTGTTCATCTCCAAGTGGCGGGGTAAACAAGACAATAGGACACGCCTCAGGCGATATCCCAACATGAACCTCCTCCTGAGTAGCAGACTGCCCAAACCCAACGACCCTGTTTGCCGAGATCACCACAGCTTGTCCGTCGCCATCACCCACTCCTAGGCTACCCGGCAAAGTGTCATATGTCTCCACCACCACGACCTTCAGTTCACTAAGTGGTCGATCTTGCGCAGATATCTCGTCGTAGTTCTCTGGCAGGGAATGCAATGAATATTCCACAACCCAACCGTCCATTGTCTTCTCGTCACAAAGAACATCCCCAAAGTACAGCATCAAGGCCCGGAGATACCCCCTCACGGCAACAGGATGCCTCTGCTGAGAAGAATACCATATCCCAAAGTCGTGCGTCCCGTCGTCGTCCCGAAATGGTGGTAAACTCAGTGTGCGGAGGAATTGGTGCACAACCAAGCAAGCTATTTGCCTGCGGGAGAAGGGCAAGCTGTAATTCTCCCTACTGAGCACAGGGATTCGGCCGTTCTGAAACAGAACTGGCATTTGTAGCGCTATATCCACGATACGAGACCATACTTTCGCGAAGAAGACCTCGGCAGTGTCGAACGACGTGGCGATTGCATCTATTAGAAGCTCATAATCCCCCGCTGGCTGTGATGTCTCCCGCAGAATGACAGATATTGTGTCCAGAATGTCGACTAATCCAGTAGTAGAGTTGACAGGCCGGCAGAGGATTGCCTCGAGGACGGGCCAGAATGGGACTTGTCCATTCTCGTCCTCGGCTTGGTCACCTGTTGGGTGGAGGCTGAAGCGGTCGGTGCATTTGTATTCGGGGGAGAAAGGGAGGAGGTAGAATTTGGGGTGTGGTGGCGACATTTCGGGGCTTCTAAACTGACGGCGATCTGCCAGTGTTTGGGTAGACAATCTAGACCCAGGCGCAGAGGGAAGGAAGCTTGTCGACACCCGCGCGGGGGAGCCGCTGATTGCACAGCCACGACCCTTAACCCGAGTGTGAGTCACAGAACGCACAGAACAGTCCAGGAAGTCAATGGCGTTTGTTACGGAGAAAATAATAGCTCAAGAAGGAGTTTTCCTCATTGGAAGCCAAATATACAATGGTCTAAGATGATGCTGGAGAGTTCGAGCTACGTCTCTGGTCATAGGGTAGGCAAGGGTTAGGGTTGTATATTGAGTTGATATCTGCTTGTGCCCAATGCAATTTCCCACAATATCTGTACACTCAGTTTCTTTGCAAAAGGTATCACTGGCTAATTCAACTGCTACTATCAGTTTCAGCACTGGTGAGCTCCCTTGCGATGATTTCCTCCTCAACTGGTGTGAACTGGTGATGCTTCGAATTCATGATGAATCATTTCCATTGTGCAGCCCTTTCATTGGTCAGAAGCATAACTCGGCGGCGATGCAGTATGCCGCTTCACCACATTTGGTTAGCGCCATCCCGGTGTAAGCCGCTTGGACAACTGATTCACACGATCATGGTCCATCTCTCAAGCAAGTCTAGGGATATAAAACAAGTAGAGCATCACTTCAGGCAGAAACTCGGTCTATCATCTTCACAAGGCATCAACACTTTGCCATCACCAGCAGCTGCACCCAGCGGACCACACCACCCTAATCACTCCAGCACCAACACCTCCCTGATACTCATGCCAGACACTGCAACTGCCACAACCACCACAGCGACTACCACCAACATGGCTCTATCAAGCTCACCGAACAGTCGGTCATCAACCCCTGAGAGTAATCTCTCCCATTCCACCATACCACCATTCATCCCGGGCCAATGTCTCTTTTGTCTCCATCTATCATCATCCTTCCTCGACGGCATAGAGCACATGCAAAAGTCCCACGGGCTATTCATCCCACATCGACAACTATTTTCTACCGAAAACCTCGAGGCTCTCTTTGAACAGCTCCATCTCATCATCTTCGAATACCACGAATGCATCAAATGCGGGACAACAAGATCCTCAGTGCAAGCGATGCAGCAGCACATGACCGGCAAGCCAGGGCACTGCACATTTGACATCTCGGACCCAGAATCCGAGTTTGCCGAACTCTATCGCGGGATATTGGAGGGACGAGAAACAGACGGCCAGAAAGGTGACCAAGAGAGCACTTCCAATCCTTGGAATCAGGCTCGGGCAGTTCAAGTTGATGAAGATTCACTTCGGTTACCCTCGGGGAGGATAATATCAAAGAAATCATCCGTGATGCCACCATCACCTTCAGCGACGAATGCTTCTCGGTTGCGACATAACCGGACTCGGGTATCAGCTGCTGCCGCGGAGATAGGATACGCCATGGGAGAAGAGTCTAGCGATAACGAGGAGGAGCCGGTCCAGCCAAGCAACTCGGAGACAACACCAGGCGCGCAAGTGGTTTTATCAAAGAGGGAAAAGAAGCGGGCAAGGGACATGGAGGCATATCAATTGACGCGGATGAGCGCGAATGATCGGACAAGCTTGATGCACCTGCCTGTGTCTCAGCAACGGGCCTTACTGGCAACCCAGCAGAGACACCAGGAAAAGATGCAGACTGAGGAAAGAAGACAGCGGGCAAAGATTGATCGGAAGGGCAACAAGAATTTGTATGCGTACTGGAATACCGAGACGCCGGTTTATCTGTGTGGATAGGGGCTTGGGTATATCATGCAGCACCACGTAGCAGATAGTAATTCGCCCTCCAGTGTCCGAAGCCATATGCAACCAAGTTCATTCCCCGGCCGCATAAACTCCCACGGCTTGTCCACACCTCAAAACACCCCCGGAACAAACCTCGCCGTCCTCGAATGCCACCCCTCCCACTCCCCCCCAAACTTTGTTCTCAACATCTCCTCCTCCTGCCTAACCCTAGTCCAAACCGCCCCGAGCACAACCGACACCCCCACCGGCGCCAACGACCACCCCAAATCCCTCAACCACTTGTACCACCTCTCCGACGCCCAGCAGCTCACCACCCCGTCCACCCTCGCCATGAGCGCGATATTGCAAAAAATCAAAACCACCACGCCGGTGTAACTGGGGTGCTGAACATATCTGTACAGCCCTGTTGTTTTGAGCCTATCCGGCTCTGCAAGCGCAAAGGTGAAGTTTTTGCCTAGGGAGGCGTATGATGCTAAGCGGAGGGGGACTCCAGCGCAGAGGATGAGCGCTAACGGGATGGCGGTTGAGGGGGACCAAGTTACCAGGTCTGGGTTAAGGTGACGGCATTGGTTTGGTGGGAGGGCAGGGTAGAGGTAGGCGAGGCGGGTCGGAAAGTATGTTTATGATATTGATTCTTATCAGCTTTATTACTTTTTTCTTTTTTTTTTTCTGCACATACAACCCCGCCTCTCCCTAATTTTTTTTACCCGTTTGGCTTGTTTTGTCGTCTTATATATTATGTTGTATTCCTATTTCTGTTACCCTCACTCTTCCATTCCACTTCTCTCTCTTTTCTTCATTTTTCCTTACCTTTTCTTCCTTCCTCT